AAAAAAAAAAAAAAAAAAAAAGAGCCCAGAACAAAATTGCAAAGGAAGCCAACCCTGCGCAGAAAGAGTTTTTAGAAGCTGCCGAGAAAGCGCGCTGCGGCCCCCAGCAGCCTGCGGCCGGGAGTGGAGGGCGCTGCGCCCCCCAGGCGCGTCCCGGGTCCCAGGCGCTCTGGGGGCCCCGCGGTGCCGTGGGAAACGAGAACACCCACATTTTGAAATGAGGATAATTTAACTGTCTTTCTGTCTTCTCTTTTTTTCTTTTTTAAAAACTATATCTTTATTGATCTCAGAGAGAGGAAAGGAGAGGGAGAGAGAGAAACATCAATGATGAGAGAGTCATTGATCGAGCCCGCAACCCGGGCATGTGCCCTGACCGGGGATCGAACCCCGACCGCCTGGATCCGAGGCGGATGCTCAACCCTGAGCCACGCCCGGCCGGGCTCAGTTTTCTCTTGAAAGTGGGGCCACGGCCACTTCTGCCCGAGCTCCTGGTGCTGCTGGGTACAGTCCCTCCCTCTTTCTCTTTGGCTGTTTTTTTTTGTTTGTTTTTGTGTGTGTTTTTTTTGCTTTATGGATCCTGGACTTGCCAGGAGGGAAACTGAGGAGCCTGGTCACGTAGGCAGGGCCCTTCCATAGGGCGGTGTCTGGGCTAAATGTCTACTGGGTGGAGCCTGAGAATTAAGGGTACCAAGTAAGTTTTATTTGCATAACCTCACGTTCCCCTGTGCGTTTCTTGTGTTCCCAATACTCTGTGTTAACTCACTTTGACCAGTCCTGCGGCCACCCCCTCACAGGCCAGGCCTCTGACTGCTGTGTGGTTAAGGGGTTTCCTCATCTGGCTTATTTGTCCTCTTCAAGGCCACAGAGGGGCTGTAGGTAGAGCCCCTCCGGTGACAGGCTCCAGTGGCTGGGAGGGACAGAGGAGGACTGACCCTTGGAGTAAAGCTGGCCTCTTGCTTTGAGGTCGGTTGGAGACCCTTCCCCTCCAGTGGGCACATGGCAAGGTGACAGCATTTCCCTAAAGCAGACAAGGAGAAGGCCCCTAATGCGGGACATGGCCTTTTCCAGGGGCTGCTCCGCACTTTCCCCCTTCTAGTCAGAAGGGCGCAGAGCAGATTCTCCCTCCAGCCCTGCTCTGGACGGGCTGCCATCCACCCGGGCCCGGGGCGAGCAGGGGCCGGAGGGAGCCCAGGAAGGGGCGCCTGGGCTCACATTTCCCCTATTCTGCCAACAGCTGTCTCCCATTAACGGTGCCTGTTAGGTGGCTGATAACTCACCTGTCTAGCTGTTTCCCATTAAGGATGTGGGTTAGGTGGCTAGTAACTCACCTGTCTTTGTAATATGACTCTTCCTAAAGTAGGACATGGAAGAAATTCATTAAAAAATTGTACTGGAAAAAAATTAAAAAGGCAATACACCAGGAGGTACTTTAGGAGACTCATGTGTCCCATCTTTAGATGCCCTCAGAGGTCCCGGTCCTGATGCGGTGACGGAGGGAAGCCCTCCAGATGGCGCAGGACCGAGGTCTGCCCCTGTGTACTCATCTCTGGGCGGATCTCCAGGGTTGGGGGGCTTGGGTGTGTGCCTGCTGTGTGCAGAGGGTGTATACGAGCTCTAGCTCTGAGGTTCCTCTTCCGTGGGCGGGAAGGTCCCATGTTCCCCCCTAGCTTTGGTTCACTCCCCACAGCAGTCCTCCCACTGACTTCCTTCTTTTTTCACCCGCAGGAGCCCAGATACCCTCTGGAGATGCTGCGGCTGCTGTTGCCCCTGCTGTGGGCAGGTGAGTGCCCGAGGGGAGAAGGTGGGGGTGGCATGGGGGCTGCAGCTGACCCCCGCTTCCCACAGGATCCCTGGCGGAGGATGAGGGCCACCAGGTGACAGTGCAGAGGTCCGTGACAGTGCAGGAGGGCCTGTGCGTCTTTGTTCCCTGTACTGTCATCTATCGTCGTTACTACTGGACCGACTCTACCCCGGCTCATGGCTACTGGTTCCGGGAAGGGGCCAATGAATTCCAGGACCCTCCAGTGGCCACAAACAACCCCGACCGTACAGCGCAGTACAAAGCGCAGGGCCGATTCCACCTCGCCGGGGAGCCCCGGGCCTACAACTGCTCCCTGGACATCAGAGATGCACAGAGAAGAGACACGGGGACATACTTCTTTAGAGTGGAGAGGGGATATTATGAGGCATACAGTTACAAACAGAACCAGCTCTCTGTTCATGTGACGGGTGAGCAATGGGGTCAAGGAGAGGGCACATGGATGGGTCCTGAGGGCTCCTGGGCGGGGAAGAGACCCATTTCATCTCATCCCGGATAAAACCCAGGGGGACCCATGGGGAGAGGACACTGGGGCTGCCGAGAGGTAGAGGCTGCTATTAGGGGCACGCTCGGGGACCCCATCTCCAGGACCCGGGTCTGTCTCTCTTTTCTTCAGCTCTGTCTCAGACTCCTGACATCTACTTCCAGGGGTTCCTAGAATCTGGGAACCCCAAGAACTTTACCTGTACAGTGCCATGGGCCTGTGAGAGGGGGACACCCCCCAAATTCTACTGGATTGGGGTCAACATCACCTCCCTGGATTCCAGGACTTTCGACTCCTCAGTGGTCACCCTCACACCAGGGCCCCAGGACCACGGCACCAATCTCACCTGTAGAGTGACTTTCCCAGGAGCTGGCGTGAGCACAGAGAGAACCATCCAGCTCAATGTGTGTGAGTGCTCAGCCAGGCCTACAGGTCCCTGTGGGCACAGTGTCAGGGAGGGGGCAGGATGCCTGGTGACTGTTCTGGGAGGCATGGCTAAAGTGAAGATGGGGAGGACACCGAGACCCAGCACCTTGCTCATGACCAGCCCATCCTACTGCAGGTGGCCAATTATGTATTTCTCTTCCAGATGGCCCGCAGAACCTTACCATTCATGTCTTCAGGGGAAACAGCACAGGTGGGAGAGGCCCTGGAGTCTCAACACCCCCCTTCAGGATGCCACAATTTGAGCCCCAAAATGATCTCTCCATACCCCAAATGTGACCCTATTCCTTCCCTGCTCAGAAGTCACCCTGGCTCCCTCAGCCCTTGGGGGAGAGGCTGAGAGCATCACCTGTGTATGAGCCTCCGATGGTCAGACCTACGTGTGCCAACATCTCTGCACGATGCCACACATCAAGGACCACTTCCCCAGGATTAGATTTAACCAACTATTCCCCAAATGTCCATCCCCCTGTTCTGGGATCAGCAGGTTGCCTCTCCTTCCCCCACCTCACCCCATGGACATTCACCCCTACTGGCCATTACTTGCAGTGCTTGCCTCAGAGACGCTATTTTCCATTCTTGTGTCTGTGGGTGAACATATAAGGGAAGGGCCTCTCAGCCCTGCCCTTCTGGCTTTTTCTGTCTCCTTAGTCCCAGAGGACCTGGACAATGCCACCTCCCTGAGAGTCCAGGTGGGCCAGTCCCTGCGCATTGTCTGTAAAACGGATGGCAAGCCCCCTGCCAAGCTGAGCTGGTCCCGAGGGAGCCTGGCCCTGAGCCCCTCCAAGCCCTTGGATCCGGGGGTCCTAGAGCTGCCCCAGGTGGTTTTGTCAGATGGAGGGGAATTCACCTGCCGAGCTCAGCACCCATGGATCTCCTACCACATCTCCCTGAACCTGGTTGTGCAGGGTGAGTATTAGCAAGACCTGCATTGTGAGGTGAGGCTGTAAGCAGGACTAAGGAGTGGACTTAAAGGAATGCACTTCTGCACCTTCCCCCCTCTCCTCCCAGGCATCTCTGGGTCCTGTCCCCAGATCTGTGGGGAGCAGTAGGGTGCCTGGTTCCTGGTCTTCACCTTCTCAGGGCGGGAACCCTCACGGGGCTGGTTTTCTCCTCACCTATGGCCTCACCTGGATCTACTACACCAGGGGAGGAGGCCTTCTCAGAGTGTCCTGGAATTTGGGGACATCTTGATGGCTTCACACTTCTTGTCCACTCTAGAGCAAACTCTTCAAAGCACTGCTCTCTCACTTGTTTATTCCACTGCTTCAGAGACCTCCATGGCGACCAGGCTGCAAGGAGTGACTGAGTCCCTTCCTCGAGGTGGTGCTGTGGTCTGGATACCAGAGCCCTATCAGGAGGATGAGGGCCCATCTAACCACTGTGTCCCAATACCCACTCTGCACAGCTTTGTGGAGCAAGGAGGTGCAGTACCACTCATCCCCACACCCCACTCAGAAATAATTCTTTACCTTGGGTTCCCAGGACTCTTCTTGACAGTTCTACCTTACTGGTTGGGAGGACAAGTGAGGAAAACATGGAGTGTTTTGTTAGGAATTTGAATCATACTCCATGTAATATTTGCTTTGGCGCGCTTACCTTAATGTGGTTTTGATCTCTTTTAGTTTTTTATCTTTTCTTCTTTTATTATGGTAATATTTCTTTTACATCCTTGAGTATATAGAACATATTTGTAAGAGTTCTTTTAATGTCTTTGTCTGCTAAGTCCATCATCTCTGCCATGTCTGAGCATGATTTAGTGAATGGTTTTTCTCTTAATGAAGTGTTGCATGTTCATACTTCTTTATATGTCTAGTAATTTTTCACTGTGTGGTGGACATTGTCAGTTTTATGTGGCTAACGGCCTGTTTTTGTTGGATTCTTTTAAAGAATATTGGTCCTCCTCCTTGAAGGCAGTGAAGCGACTTGCATGTTAGGCCAATATTTTTAAGGCTTTAATTGTTAATCTCTCTCCTATGGTAGATCTAATGTTGCCTTTATTCTAGGGCATTCACTTGAATGACATGGTTCTTTTCAATATTTGACTGATACCATGTATTCAAGGAGGCATCTTCACTCTATCTGGTGGCACTATGTACAGGACCAAGCGCTTTATGGTGTCTGGGAATTTTTTACCTAATAGCTCTCTGGTAACTGTTGTCTCCTTAGACATTGTTCTTATTTGGCCTCAGGGGGTTTCAGGTAAAGGATCTAAGAGGTCATTTGATATGAGTTGTACAAACTCTCCTCATTCCTTCTCCATGACCAGGGTATCGAATGGATGCATTCTGATTTTGTTTGCATCTGTAATAATGGGAAATTGTGACATTTATTTTATTTTGCTAACCAAAATGCTGCAATGAATATTGTATCTAATTTCACAAATGTGTGTGTTGTGTGCATGTGCACATATGCACACCTTTGGCATAACTTCCTAAAGTTACAAAACTGAGTTCATGTGTTCTTTCTATTTTTCTATTTATAAAATTTTATTTTTAATGTTTTTCTTGCATTAAAATCTTTTAAGATATACTTCCTTTGCAACTTTCAAATATGCAATACAGTATTGTTAAGGACAGTCACCATTCTGTACATTATATCCCTAAGAATTATTTATTTTATTAACTGGAAGTTTTCACACATTCACCGAACCCCATCTGCTGCCTCCTGCAAACACCACTCTGTTCTCTGTCTGTGAATCTGTTTTTTTTTGTTGTTATTAAGATTCCACATATAAGTGAGATCAAATGGTATTTGTCTGTCTCTGTCTGACGTATTTTAAGCATAATGGCCTCGTGGGCTATTCATGTTGTCATAAATGGGAAAGTTCCATTTTTTATGGCTTTGTATGTATACCACATCATTCTTACACATTGATCTATCGGTGGACACCCAGGTTTATTCTGTATCTTGACGACTGTAAGTAGTGCTGCAATGAATGTGGGGGTTGAAATACTTTTTCAAGTTAGTGATTTTGTTTTTTTCATATAAATACCAGGAAGTGCAATTGCTGGATCATATGATAGTTTCTTATGCAATTTTTTGAGGAACCTCCATGCTGTTCCCCAACAGTGGCTGCACTAATCTACATTCCCACCTACAGTGCACAAGGGTTACCTTTCCTCCATATTCTCCATTTCCCAAAAATATGCAAATTTGTTTCGCATCGAGGGTGGACATTTTCATCCAGACCAGCGATGGGTGAAAGTGTCAGTGTTCCCCCAGCCTCACCAGACTAGGGGTAAATAAAACGTTTAGGGCTTTCACGCTATCATTAGCGTTTCTCTTGTTCTGAACGGTGTTGCGCATGACTTTCTGTGATGAAGAGCACTTTGTGTATCTTTCGTTCTGTGAACCGTCTGTCGATATTCTTTGCTGAGCCTTCTACTTCGTGTCCTTGAGACTTTCCTAATCGCTCTTGGAACCAATGTTCAAGTTAGAGGAAGTAGCTCTTTTTCAGGAACATGAGCTGAGACGAGTTTCTTCAGTACGCCACACACTTTTCTTTGTGGTCAGGGAATTTTTACAGTGCTTAGGGATCTTTTTATATCTGCAGTCACATTGATCAATCTTTTAGGACTCAGGACAGAGGTGGTGCTGGTGGCCATCGGGGAAGCAGCTGTGAAGACCCTGTTCCTCCTCCTCTGCCTCACTGTCCTCATGTGAGCTCGGCCCCGGGGGGAAAGGGACACGTGGGGAGGGCAGGACCATGAGGCTGAGTCCCAGAACCAGTAATGGGGTTTGAATGAGTCAGCGAATGGAGCACCCAGGAAGCTGATGGGTGGCGGGTGAGGATTCCACATGGGCCATCGTCATTAGTGCACCACCTGGCAAGTGTCCAGGATGAGAGGCACCTGTTGTACTCAAGGTGGCCTGTGAGGCCAGACCAGCCCTCTCCCGCCTCAGTCTCCCTTTTAGCTCCTTACAGGGAACAAGGTCTGCTGCTCCTGCACCCCAATCTCATCAGCCTTAAAGACACTGGTCTCTTTTCTCAGAGTGAGGTCCTGCAAGAGGAAGGGGGTCAGGACCACAGAAAACATGGCGGATGCAAACGTTGTCCCTGGTTGGCCCCTCAGGTGGGTGACGCAGGTTTCTACCAGCCTACGCCCCATGGACACTTTCCCCAGTATGTTCCCCCAGGTTGCTCCACTCAGCACTGCTAAAGCCGAGCTGGCACCTTCTTCCCAAATCCATTTCTTCACAGTGATGACACGATGGTCCCCTTCTCTAAGGCCAGGAGTGGGGTGTGGTTCTCCACTTCGTGCTCCCTCTCTTCTCCCCAATCCAGCAATTCCCTAAGTCTTGTCCATCCTCGCACCTAATCAGAGCTCATCTGATTTCTGTCCCCTCCCCATTTGACCCTGGTCATTCCTGTGGTGTCATCTCTCCCCTGGCTGTCCGAACACATCAACCTCCTGACTCCATCTCTGTGCTCGACCCAGTCCTCCAGGTGATGGTTCCCAAGACATATGGTGCACTTCTAGCAAAGTATGAACACTGATGGTTCTTCTCCGTGGCCAGAGAAGAGTGCAAACACCACAGGCTGGGTTTGAGGGCTCTGCGTGGTCTCTCCCCTCTCCACCAGATTCTACCATGTCTCTGAATCTCACACCATCTCCACACCAAGCCCAGCCACAGCCTATATGGTTCTGAGATGTCGCATGTGCAGTTTTTCCGGCTGAATATCATTCCCTCCCCATCCCTACATCTCTAAGTCTTAATCTTCCCTCTTTGTGTGTGTGTGTCATTGGATAGCTCTGAGCATAGTGACATTCGGGCATCTATCTATAGACTCATTTAGCAAGTGTTATTGAACACCTATCATGGGCCAGCATTGCTGTAGAAGCAGAGGTACATCACTGAACACAACTTAAAAACATCTACCATCTGAAAGACTTGAAAAGACGCTTCTGCGAAGAATGTATACAAATGACCAAGAAGCACATAAACAAAATGGTCAACAACTTTAGTCCTTGGAGAAATGCACTCAAAACAACGATGAAATACTACTTCACAATCATTGGGACGTACGTGTGCTATATGTTTTACAAAACAGTAAATAACAAGCATTGGTGAAGATTTGGACAAATTGGAACCTTGTGCATAGCTGGTGGAAGTGAAAACTGGTGCAGCCTCCTGGAAAGCCCTTTGGCATTTCCTGCTAAAGTTGAACCTAGAATTACCATATGACCCAGCACTTTCACTCCTGGGTATATATTAAAGGAATTGGACCCACAGACTCAAAAACAGGTAATTGCACTCCACGGGTCATAGCAGTGTTAGTCAAAGTAGCACTGGAACCAACCTTAGTGTCCATCCACGGAAGAATGGATGAACCAAAGGAGGTGAACACATACAATGGAACATGCTTCAGCCTTAAAAAGCAATGAATGAAATTCTGACATCTGCTCCAACGTGGATGAAACCTTGAAAACAATACACTAAATGCAAGAAACCAGACACAGAAGGACAAATATTGTATGATTCTGCTTATGTGAACTAAGACTAGGCAAATTCATCGAGACTGGAAGTGGCAGGGTGGTGGCTTGGAGTCAGGGGATGGGGAATGGGAGTTACTGTGTAACTGTGTAGAGTTTCTGTCTGGGATGGCGACAAGTTCTGCAAATAGACAGTGGTGATGGTTGCACAACATTATGAATGTAACTAGTGCCAATGAATTGTACCCCATAAAATGTTAAAAATGGAAAGTTTCATTTTACAGATATTTTACCACAATAAAACAAAGGACTTGAGAAGCTCTTAGGTCTTGAAAATGCTGTCATTACGGCTGGCCAGCATGGCTCAGGGGTTGAGCATCAACCTATGATCCAGAAGATTGAGGTTCGACTCTGGGTCAGGGCACAGGCCCGGGTTGCAGGCTCGATCCCCAGCAGGGGGTGTGCAGGAAGCAGCCGATCAATGACTCTCATCATTGATGTTTCTCTCTCTCTCCCTCTCCCTTCCTCTCTCTGAAATCGATAAAAATATATATATATTTAAAAACAAAAAGGATGGTGCCTTTATTAAAGAGACCCCACGGAGATCTCCTGCCCCCTCCACCATGCGAGGACACAGTGAGGAGACAGTTGCTATGAGCCAGGAAGCGGGCTCTCACAGACACGAACCCGCGGGCCTCTTCATTTTGGACTTCTACCCTCCAGGACAGTGAGAAATGAGTGTTTGCTCTTGAAGCCACCCAGCCTGTGGTGTTCTGTGACAGCAAACCGAAGGCACTCAGACACCACAGGGACGTGTGTTTTTTTAAGGTGACATCACATGGTGAGTGCATCTGGGTGGATGTGGTTTCAGAATGATGCTGTGAGAGTGGGGGGCAATATTGAAGTGTTTTAAATTTGGAGGAGGGTGGGTCTGTAGGGGGCCAAGTGGGGTGGTGGTGGTGACAGTGTTTGCACTGATAGGCTCCCCCCGGGCAGAGACTCAGCTCTATGGAGGTGCCATGAAAGGGACACAGTCATCGTTTGTAGGTGCAAATGAGAACGAATGCAGTATTTTTGGAAGAACAATATTTGCAAACGTGTCCAGGTCCTGGGAAAGCAGTCCCTGCGGAGCTGTACCTCACCAGTACTGTGATGGCCCAGGCCCTGGTGCCTGGGGCTCCACAGGGTCAGTCTGTGCTGGTGGAATGGAGCGCCCCCTGCTGGCAGCACAGGACGTTAAGGAAGGAACTGGGACAGGAAGACGCGCCTTCATCTGGAGTAGGTGCATGGTGTCCCCACATGACTAAGGTGGCAGCTCCAGGTGACACGGGGGCCGCAATGTAGTGCTTCAAAAGGGAACAGGTGATGAGCACATCACATGCTGCTGAGGGGCATCTGCTTCAACAAATTGTGGGTTTTGGTCGTTTGAGGTCTTTGGTGATTTTTACAGGATGAATTTGAGTGATGTGGGGATGGAGCAAGGTTGGACGAAGCTGGGCAGGGTGGATGGTCAATAAAGAAGGATTGATAACTGAAGAAAGTTCCCTGTGAAGGGAAGAAAAGAGAACCCTCAGTGTTGCTGGGAAAGGGGAGGAGACGATGATGGTCTCGGGACCAGCTCCAGGAACTTCTTGGTAGCTGCCTCTGGAAGGGTAAGGGTCAGTCCACAGCCGAGGTCACTGACCGGCGCTCAGACCCCACTCTTTTTCCACCTCTCCCTGCCAATGTGGCTGTGGACATAGAGCTGCCAAGCTGTCCTGCCTGGCACTGGAGTCCTCCTCAGCCCCACACCTGAGGGATCAGCTCTGAGCTTCAAAGGGCCATCTAACCCCAAGAATGGTCTACACTCTGAGGTGGGTTCTGAGGCCCCAGGTCAGCCTGGAGGAGCTGGGGGGATGTGGATTGGCATCTTTCAGCCCTGACGAAGCTGAGGGTCTTCTGTCCCTTCTCCAGCTGAAGGGGCAGCATCCAAGAGTGGTGTGGGGAAACCACCTAAGGACCACGAGGTTGCCATTTTCCTGCTTCCCACCCCAGTGAGTGCCACAGAGGCATGGGAATGCTCAAAGGCAGAGGCGGGCCTGGGTCTAAGCTGAGGGTTGGGGACTCAGCTCTCAGCTCCTCCAGAGCGTTCTCCCAGCAGGACCAGGCACCCTTTCCTCCCTCTCACTCCTCCCTGTAGAGTTGCCTCTTCTGTGAGCTCCCCTAGGAGGAGGGAGCCTGGTTCTCCCCCAGTAAGCCCAGGTTGGGCAGTGAGGACCTAGGGATCACAGTGAACAGGAAAGAGGAGGGTGGATGCTATGAACTGAATTATGTCCCACGTCCAACTCGTATGCTGAAGTCTTAACCCCCAGTAATTAGGAATGGGACCATATTTGGAGATAGGTGCTTTCAGAAAGCAATTCAGTTAAAATAAGGTCATAGGGTGGGCCCAAGGTTAAGAGCACCAGTGTCCTTATAAGAGGAAATTGGGATACAGACACACAGAGGGCCAACCATATGAGGACACAGGGAGATGACAGCTGTCTACACACCAAGGAGAGAGGCCTCAGAAGAAACCAACCATGGTGACACCTTGACTTTGCACTTCTACCCCCCACAACTGGGAAGATATGAATTCCTGTTGTTTAAGCCACCCAGTCAGTGGAGTTATGACAGCCAGTGCAAGGTAATACAGTGGATATGAGAGCAGGACAGGAGCAGCTGGATGTCACCCGCTCTAGGACACCTGTCTTGACTTCACTTGGAAGAAGGGACCCCTCTTTCCCCAGGCCCATCAAGAACATTCCTGCCAGCAGGGGGGTGGGTAGTGAGACATTTATGAGCACTTTAGTACTTTGCTGTTTCTAAGGATCTCCATTTACCAAACTGGGTCTCTTGAGGTCAGTCACTGTACTTCATTTACGTGCAGGTCTCCCATTTGCACCATGGCACCTGCCACACATGAGGTCCAAGGACATGGGGTTGAGTGGTCAAGCACAGTGACTCTACACAAACAAGACAGAGTCATTTTAGAAGAAGAGCTATAATGGGGTTTTTATCTCACTTCACGCCTCCCATGCCCTTTACATCCCCTGCAACTCTCAACCTCATCTTCACCTCTGGGTGCAGGTGTTCTTATTACAACAGGTGTTACAAGTATGTGTCACCCAATTGTATGACAGAAGAAGAGGAGATGGGCAACGGACTCAGGTCTTAGGTGTGGGTGCTCCTGGGGGACCAGGGTCAGTGAACCTCCCATGGATGATTATGGGTGGCCCTGAGACCAGCCTACAGTTGCCAGATTTAGCAAATAAAAATAGAAGACGCTTGGTTAAATTCAAATTTCAGATGTAAAAAACATATGTTAGTATAAGTATGTCCCGTGCAATATTTGGGACATACTTATACTTACAAAAAAAAAAAAAAAGATTCCTTGTTTATCTGAACGTGAAATTTACTGGGCACCCTGCATCTATGCGGCAAGAAGAGCCCTGTTCCCACCCCCACACACTCACCCTCCACTGCACTCTGCTCCATCACTGGGGCCCCTGTAAGAAGGGCTCACTGTGAGCTTTCACTTCTGCTTCCCCAATGACCCAGGGCCCAGCAGGGGAGCCCCCACCTTCCACCTACGCCAGCCAGGCCCCAGGACTGGACACATGCCCCCCACTGCCTCCTGCAGAGGTGACTTGGGAAGGACCAGCTCAGAGAGCCCAACACCAGGCAGGCACCCCCAGGAAAGACAAAGAGTCCAGGTGGGGGAAGTGGGGTGGGGAGTGGGGAGAAAGGGAGATCCCGTTGGTCTCAGACGAGAATCTCATGTCATGCATCAGTCCCCCACACCCAGCTTCCGCCTGCCCGCCCCTGGCTTCCTCTTCTGTCCCTTCCCAGTGTCAGTCACAGCTTCAGGGGAATGAACTTGTCTCAGGGCAGGTCCCAGTGTCTCCTGGGCAGCGATGCTCCTGATGCTGCTCTGGGCCCTGCTGTGGGGCGGTGAGTGGGCCGAGGGCTGGGTGGGCCAGGATCAGGGCCACAAGAAGGCGCAGACACTGGTTCCAGGTTACTGGCTTAAGGTGGAGAAGACGGTGACAGTGCAGCGAGGCCTGTGTGTGCTCGTGCCCTGCTCTTTCTCCTATCCTCAGAAAGGCTACACTGAGAGCACCCCAGTTCATGGCTACTGGTTCACACATCCAGCGAATACGGACAGTGCTTCTCCAGTGGCCACAAACAACCAGTTTCGGGAGGTGGCATCATGGACCCAGGGCCGATTCCAGCTGGTGGGCAGTCTCCGGGATCGCAGCTGCTCCTTGCTGATCACAGATGTGCAGGAGGGAGACAGAAGATCGTATTTCTTTCGGTTCGAGAGAGGCAATTCTGTGAAATTTAATTTTTTGGAATATCAGTTCTATCTGAATGTGACAGGTATGGAACTGGCTGGAATGGGGTGGGACCTCCCCCTGCCACCCGCTGTCTCTCATGCTGGGATGGATGTGGGGGAAGCACCCCCTAAAGTACCCCATCTGGGGCTACAATCGTGCCCTCTCTCATCCCAGCCCTGACACAGAAGCCAGCTGTCTACGTCCCAGAGTTGCTGGATCCTGGGCGCCAGGTGACAGCCATATGTGTGTTTGACTTTTACTGGGAACAATGTGAAGCCCCTACTTTCTCCTGGACGGGGGCTGCCCTCTCCTCCCAAGAAATCAATGTGACAACAGCCCATGTCTCAGTGCTCACCCTCACCCCGAGACAGCAGGACCATGACACCACCCTCACCTGTCGAGTGGACTTCCCCAGGAGGGGTGTGGGCATCGAGAACAGTGTCCTGCTTAATGTGGCCTGTGAGTTGGGTGGGGGACTTCAGGGTGGCCAACAGGAGGGGTGGGTGGAGAGGTGGAGATGTGGCTGGTGATGGGTGGCTTGGGGGGGGGGGTTCCCAAGG